GCTCCACGATTGCCTGACTGGACGAGATTTGATATCAAACACAGTCTACAAAACCTCCGTAGTTATAAACCTCATGTAGTCAAGAAGGAACTCCGTAAACTGCACCTACGGTGGCATCATGCGAAGGAACCCAAGATGAGGTTGATACTAGAAAAGGTGGGCTTGGATAGTGTCCGACTAAACATGATCAAAGAAATCTGCGACACTCGTCGGGAATGTAGAGCCTGGGAGCGCCCAGGTAACTCCACGTTACCTTCAGTAAGCCCCCCTGGAAATTGGCTTGACGAAGGCGAAGTAGATCTCATGTATTAGAAACGGATCATATTCCATAGTATGGACCGATGCATTCGCCTGGCAGCAGGCCAAGAAATCCCCGACAAAGAACGCGATACCATACTCGACGCCTACGACTACTGCTGGATCGCCTATCGTGGACCCTTCAAAGTATTGTACTCGGACGGAGAAGGCGCCCTCAACAACGAAACCGCCAAGGCCATGATGGCGAATCAGGGTACGACACTGCGCATCCGAGCGCCTGGCCAGCACGCGACCTCGATCGAGTCGCGCAATGGCATCCTTAGAGGCACTGTCCACATAATTGAGGAAGAGCTGAACAGACACGACATCCCCATTGTATTTACCAGAGTACTAGCCGAGGGTATCTTCGTCACCAACGCTTTCACGTTTTACAACGGAGTATCGCCGTACCAAGCACACACTGGGCGACAACCCTCTTTCCTTCCTGACATCGACACCCTTGATTTTCCCAAGGGGCCCGAGATGTCAGGCCACGAACGCGAGCGTCGCGCGAGGGAAGTTAGCCTGGAAGCAATAACTCAAGCCACGGCAGTAGCGAAGACGAACCGTGCCCTCAGGGCCAAGACGGCGCCAGATGGTGCTCGTCTATACTCTGCTGGGGACTTGGTTGACGATCACCGACCTACGGCCACTAAGGACGATCATGGAGGCTGGAATGGCCCGTTCCCTGTGATCCGCGGCGTGCCCGAATGTGGACACGTAATCGTCAAGGCTGGATCGCGCGAGGTAATTGTAATGTATCCCGATGCTCGCCACACGCTCTATATTGAAAGCCTTATCACTAGGGAACTTGGCATGGATAACATGGCCATGCAAACCGTCCTCACGTACGTGTCACACCTTGGTGCAGGGAAACCTGCCAAAGTGTTCGCCTACATCCCAGACTACAAGAGAAACCTCAACCTTTCCGACGACAGCAAGTTCCACCCGCGCGTGCACTTAGCACTACAGTATCTCGTGCGAAACTATTTCAGAGTTGAGCGCGTAGTAGCCGTGAGACTGGCCAAGAGCGTGCTCAATCTACCTGCGGTCAAGTACGCCACCGGGTCAACACTGATCCACTACGACAACGATGTCAACCCAGCCTTCCACTACTACGGGTGTGTAGGCACTCTCTTGAACATCTCTCAAATCACTGGTAGCACTCACTCCAGAATCATCCAGTGCCTGACGTCACAAGCTCCTTCCCTAGGATTTCATGACGGCCTTGTCAAGTATCAACTCTTGGACACACCGTCTGAACGACCTGACCAGCCTGGAGACAGGCCTTCTCCAGACACCCCAGGTGCTTCATCACCAAGTGAAGGTCGCCTGTCTACAATCTACGAGGAAAGTGAGGAACACGACATCCAGGCCATGATGATGGAAGAGTGGTATGATGAGCTGCGTATGGACCTTCATCCCACGACCGTTACCGACAAATGTCTCTACTGCGTCCCAACAACTATGCTGCCTGACCAATGTGTCTTGTTCTCAGCATCAGTGGACGAGGAAGATACTGTTGTTTCGGAGACGCTCGGAGACGAGCCTGAACACAAAGAGCCTTGTCTTGTCTCCTTATGCTCGACCACACCTGACGAGGACTACTCTCTTGACAGTGATGAACACGGCCCATACGCCGAATTGTGTTTTACGCCAGAAATGGCAAAGATCGCACTGGAACAGGCCCAACTTGCACAGCTCGAGTCAAACATGGTCGCGACGATGAGAGTATACGTATCATCGGCTGCTAAACGTGCTGTGGTAGTTAAGGAGGATGACCTACTCACCAAAGCCGACATAGCAGCACACCCCAAAGAGGTTAGTGAAGCCTTGTACACCGAACTCTAGATCTGGCTTGACACCGATGTTTCAAAATGTATGACCTGTCAAAAACTTCCAGCATTATGACATCAAGATACGTATACAAGTGGAAGTTTGTGAAAGTGGGTACCGAGAATGTGAAAACCATCCGTCTCAGACTCGTCCTCCGTCTGGATTTATGGACACGGAAGCTTTCGACGTGGAGACCTTCTCGCTTCTGGCAAGTGAAGCCGCATGCCATCCCGAATGGATCTTGGCATCCATGGACATTGACAAAGCGTTCCTCAAAGGTCTGACATATGAGGAGCTTGCTTATGCCACCGGCGAGGAGACTCGCATGGTTTACTGCACACTTCCACCAGGAAGCGCCCAGGTGCTTCGCACCCTTCCAGGCTTCTCTTCATATGATGAAAGCCGACAATGCCTCAGGTGCCTGAAGCCAGGGACCGGTACGAAGGACGCCCCAAGAGCGTTCTCTCTCCAGCTTCGCAAGACCACTCGAGCTATCGGCCTTTCACCGACAAGTTACGATCCTGAAATTGAGTTCAGTCAGGATCTATTAACAGCAAAACACGTCGACGATATTAATGCGACAGGCCTAGAGAAAAACGTAGATGACTACGTACAACGTGTCGAAAAGGTGTTCGGCAAATGCAAGCTCAACAAACACTCCTACACTAACTGCGCCGTCCGCTACACGAAGAACGAACAAGGGGATGTGATCGTGGATCGGGACGAATACATCAAACAACTACGTCCTATCACACATCCTGAACTCACGGGAGCGGCGGCAGACGCCAAGGCTACCAAACTCATCACCGACATGTTCGTCAGCCTGCGAGGAGCTCTCGCCTATGCCCTCCTTACTCAAGTCTGGCCCATGGTGTATGCAGTGTCTCTCCAGAAGAACCAAGAGCCTACCAACTTACAAGTCAGACGACTGAACGCTGTGACGCGAAAGCTGATCAGCAGCCCGAAACGCATCACCTTCCCTCGGATGAAACCGACTGATGAAGTAGACATACACATCGGAAACTCACCGGGGAGGAGGACGACGAAACCAGGGGCTACAGCATTCGCGGGGCTAACGTACTAAGGCGAGGAAACTCGCCCCAAGGCAAATCCGTCGTTCACCTTTGCGACGGACTATGCAAGTCACACCGACTGCAGGCGAGATCCAGCTACGCCGCGGAGGCACTCGCAGCTGCACACAACCTTGATGCATGCTATCCCACGCTCATCACCCTCCACGAGCTCAAAGCCGGGGCCCTTACTCCACGACAACTACGGGATATGCGTGAAGTTGGAGGCCTAGCTATCAAAGTATCCCTTACGATAGACGCCGAGTCTGTATATAAGTCATTATCTAGCAACGATCTCAAGATACCGACGGAACGTACTTTGCTAGGACATATCAGCTGGATACGTGAGCTCACGGATATAGGTATAGTGCACAACGTGCAGTGGTGTGATACTAGGGACATGACCGCAGATGGGCATACAAAGGGGAGTATCGATCGGGAGCTGCTTCTGGAAGTAATGTCAGGTACTCAGTCGTTTAAGTATGACGTGAAGCAGTTTGTTCCCTTTCGGGGCCCTGAGGACGAAACAAAGCCTAAGTCGAATCATTGTTAGTCTGTCCTTGTTGCCCCTGCGGTCCAGCTTGCCAGCACGGGCGCCTATTATGGAGGCGCCCTCTTGCTTGCTCGGAAACGAGCCATAATTTTCTCGCTTGGCAACGAGCCTGTTCAGCTTGGTTCGGGCTCTTTGCCTTAATACCTTTTGCCCGGAGGGGAATAGCCTGTTTGGCTTACTTCTAGCCGGGCCGATAGCCCTTGGCCATCCAAGGGGGTGTCCTGCGAATGCGTGGAAAAGTTTTGCGAGGAAACTCGCTTGCGAATAATCTCGCCCTTCAGTCTGGTGGTAGACCAGACTGCGTGTACTGTTTTCCGTGCAAGCTGTCGCGCGCCTGTCGAGAGCCTAGCGACTGCGCGGCTTTACTCTCCGTCTCCTCCCCTCCCGACTTAAGGGTAGCTCTTTGGGAGATGTGATATGTAAACGGGAGTATAGCCTGCGCGTCGCTGCCTTAGCTCAAGGCACGCGCGCCCGACTTGCCCGGATACCTGACCTGGTATTCGCTATGTGCTGGAAAGACCGATACATCGATCTTCTCCTATCTTACCCATCCACACCCCATATCGTATTCCTTCGACATGGAATTGGATGCAATATGACCTACCAGAGTCATTTCAGACTTCCGCCCCCTCCTCCCATGTGTATTTATCATCCTCCTACTCGTCCTCCTCCTCCCCTCCCTCTTCCATCTGAGGAGAACTTGCTGCTCCTCCAGGCCACGCTCCACCTCCTCCCCCTCCTCATGTTCTTGTTATGCAGCATGCTCATGCTACTCTGCATCCTTCAAGTCATCCGATCATCCTCACACACCTTCTCGTAATACATACTCCTCGTCCTCCTCAACCTCATCACCATCATCATCAACAACATCATCATCATAGCCATCAAACAACATCATCATCATAGCCATCATCATCAGCATCGTCAGCATCATCATCATGATCCTCTCACGTATCCTCCCCATCCTTCCCTCTTGCATGTCATCCCTGCTCTTTCTCTTATTGTGTATCCTCCTTAGTCATCCTCGGCCTCCTACTCCTCCTCCTCCTCCTCCTCCTCCTCCTCCTCCTCCTCCTCCTCCTCCTCCTGCTCCTCCTCCTCACGTCTGCCTCGAGTGTCCTCTCCAGCCCTGTGCTGTCGATTCCTGGCGTGTTACTCTTGTAGCCGTTTCGGCTGTGTTGAGAAGGCGCGGGCGTGCTAGAGTCGCTCACTGGGCCGCCACACGAGGGAGACGACTCGTCACGATGGCCACCGATGCCAGGGACCAGGCGGAGGATGCTGGCGTGCTTCCACCGGAAGAAAAGATCTATCAGAAAGCTTGTGGTCGGCACCGCCGTCTCACGCCGTCAAAGCGCCCTAAAGAAGTTTCGTAAGGTCTTCTCGAGGCCCCCTTGGGCATCACCCCAGGACATCAAACATGTCAGTTCATTTCGCCTTTCTCTCTCTCTCTCTCTCGCTGTTGTGTGTGTTGTTCTCTCTCTCTTTCTCTTTCTCGTTCTCTTTTGACACCGAGCATGTTCCCCAAGGCCAGGCTTGTTCACTTGGCCGTGATAGGTCTCTAATGTGGAAGTCGTTGTAGAGTGTCCTCAGGACTGCTTGACATGACCATCCATCACAGAATGCTCGTAGACTACCTCGATGTGGGCAAAACATGATCCTGGATTTGCGCATGGATCACCAAAACCTACTTATTCAGGGCGCAGCCTTGGCTTATGTTTGCGAACCGACGCTTCACTCGCAACGTACTCCTGGCAACGTCCCGCGGATGCGTAGTTTGACCAAAGTTCGCCCGTAGCAAACCCGTGGCTTTCTCGCAGGTGATCTGTAGCTGAGCTCGAGTTCTAACCTTCCTGAGCTCAGCATGGCTCTGATGAGCTAGGCCTGGCGCCCATTGGCTGGGTTCAGCGTGTCGAAGCGTCGTTGTTTCTGGCGCTTAGTGTGCTCCTTGCTCGAGAGAACAGCGTGGAAGGCAGCGGGCCGGCCACTGAGACCATTGATTCGTCGTCTGATTCAGAAGGCTTGTCCAGCGAGCGCGGTGGTGGCTCGGTGGCGCCAGAGCCGAGCAGTATTCTGTGTTTCCTTGGGGCAGTCGCTTGCCCCCAGCCAGACATCCAACGTCGTGATTGCTTCGCAACGTGGCTCCCCAGAGATATGGACCCTTTCCCTGAGACCAGTTTTTTATCCTCAGACGATTTTGACGGTCCTGGGTCCAGTGAAGGTTCTTAGAGGTCGAAAATTGTTGGGATTGTTCGCTTGCCCCGAAATCAGCCGTGCTTTCCCCAAAAAGTGCTTGCACTGCAGGCCTAATCAGTCAGCCCTGCTGTCTGATGAGATAACCCTGGCTATTGGGTTTCTGGAGATTGTACACAGGATCTCGACCTGAGTTGCTCGGGGTGTTGAGTTTAGGTGGTTGCCCACAGGGTTCCTCCCGCAGGGTCCTGGCCTTGGCTTCCCCTGTTTTGGTTGGAGCGGCTGCCCACGGGGTCCGATCGGGCAGGCCCCAAGGCTGAGGTAAATCGCTCCAGAGCGTTCAGAACGCTCTGGAGCGTTCCGGAGCGCTCTGGAACGGCCGCGGCGCCCTATACATCTTCAAGAACCACCCGATCTCAGAGATCCCCGATTTGTCCAGGTCTGAGTGTGCCCCGATCCTGGCTTCGTTTCACCTTATCCACACGGTCATTGCCTTGAGTTGCGGCAGTTGCCCAAGAGGTTGCGCTTGAGTACCCCCGTCTATTGGGGCTGCGGCACTTGCCCAAGGGGCCTCGCCCAGCAAAGCCTGGCATTACGTGCCTCGGTCTGCTGACGTTGCGGCGGTTGGCCACTGGGTCTAGCCCATTGGGCCGTGGCCTCAGCTGCCCGTGTCTGTTTGGGTTGTAGCATTTGCCCACGGGATCCCTGGCCTTGGCTTCCTTGGTAGCCATCTTTCCCCGTTTGAGGGCCCAGCGACAGTCGTTGTTGGGTATAGCATCGGCCCGAGCTGCTGAAAGGCGAGCATGCCAAAACGCACTAAGAAGCTTCAGGTCGGCGATTCAATAGACGGGAGGGGGGGGAGAGGAGTGGTTGCCCAACGATGGTGGGGTGTCGGACTACGTCTCGAAGCTGCTGCAGATCCAGGGCGAGGAGGCGGCGCAACTGATACAGCTCAGCCTGAGGAGAAGCGCAGGCATCGACGTCATGGGCCAGCGCTTCGACGCTGCAGTGCTGAAGGAGGCGCTGCAGAGGTGGGACCTGGCCGAGGCCGTACTGCACGGACGCGGCCGGCCGCGAGCCCAGGGTGCAGGCGGGGCCCCCAAGCGGAGGCTGCAGGCAGCCGATGCCATCAGTTTGCGGCCATGCGGGCAACGCAGGCTCGCGCCGGCCCCCCACTTGGCAGGAGGCGGCGCGCCCGAGGCCGCGGGCACCAGCACCTGGAGCGTGCCCGAGGTCGCAGGTGCCGACACCCCAAGCGCTCATAAGTTGAGGGCGCTCCTCTCGCAGGCTGGCGTGGATTGCGCCGCCTGCGTGGAGAAGCGGGACCTGCAGTCGCTCTGGGAGCGCTTCGAGCTGCTCCGCTCCCGCCCGCTGCCGGAGTTGCGCGCCTCCTGCGCCGCAGCCGGCGGGCCGCAGCAGGGCTCCGCAGAGGAGTGCGCGAGGTTCTTGCTGACGCCAGATCCTGCAGCCAGGCGCCTGCCAGAGGCGGCCGCAGCTTCCCCGGCCGCCGCAGACCCCGGGGCTGCGTCGGGCCCCGGGCCCGCTCGGGCCCCGATGGGCCCCAGCGCCGCTGCGGCCTGCTCCGAGCGCGAGCGTGATGCGCTCCGGGAGGCGCAGCGCATACAGGGGCTGAGGAGAGAGGCGTTCCGGACTGCGGCGGCATGGGGCTTCGCCGTGCTCGCCGTGGCCGAGCGCGACTTGAGCGCAGTGCACCGGGGCTACAGGGCCTTGATGAAGAAGCTCCACCCCGATAAGGCGGGGAGCTCGCCAGACGTGGAGTGCGCTGCGGAGAGCGTGAGGCAGGCAAAGGCGCTGTGCGAGAGAGGTCTCTCGCGGGAGACCCCGCCCGGGAAGCCCAGGCAGCTGCAGTTCTCCGTCGTCTGCGGCCAGCCTGGTAGACGGAGATTCAAGCTCAGCTGGGCGGCCCCAGAGGGCCGGTCAGGCGGGCCGGTCCGGAAGTACGTGGTGGCCGCAGTGGACCCAGCGTACGGCAAGGCGTTGTCCGTCGGCGTGTTGGAGCCAGACTACAGCGAGGAGCTGAAGAGATTCGTCTCGGTCGACGAAATGAATTCATTCGTCCTCGCGGAGGACGAGCTCCAGAAAATGCCCAAGCTCTGGCAGCAAGGCCGCGCTCAGGTGCAGGTTGCCGCGGCCAACGACGCGGGGCAGTCCCCGTGGGAGGTCCGCAAACAGCAGAAACGTAACTTGTTTGTGGCGTCAGTCGCCTTCCTCCCCACCATCCCCCTCCTCCCCCTTCCTCTCCCACGTCATCCATTACGAAGGTGGTCGCTCTCCCCCGCGCCACGGCACGACCTTCCCCTGCCCCCGCCAGGGCCGCAATGCGCAACGGGGTCCGTATCCGTAACCTTCTTCTCTACGTCGTCGATGTTTTTAACGTTCTGGGCTTTCCTCGTAGAGGTGTTGCAGGTTCCCTTGACGGGGCTCGCCCCCGATGCAGTCAGCGAAGCAGGCCGGGCCCTTAGGGGAGAAGGATGAGGATGAGGAGGGAGGAGGAAGGGGGGAAGGGGGAAGGAGGGAGAAGGGAGGGAGGGAGGGAGGGAAGAGGAGGAGGAGGAGGGAAACAGCAGCAGGAGGAGGAAGAGGAAGAGGAGGGAGGTAAAAGACAAGAAGGGCAAGGGGATGGAGAAGTTCAGGAGGAGTTGGATCCCCCGAGCGGACCCACCGTGGCTTGAGCACATGCCGTTCGCTTGTGCACCCTGGTTTCTACTGCTCTGTACCTTTCGTTTCACCGCATGGCCGTCACAGATTGCTAACCTGAAAGGCTTACTCGGTGAAGCAATTTAGACACGACGGGCGTCGTCTAACGCCAGGGCAGAGCAGGGAAAAGGTTGTGGCGGGCCCCACCCTCCAGAGGGCAGGACCTCGCCTTCCGACGTCATCTTCGCTCGTCCTCTCGCCCCATGATGGCGCCGATGAATTCCGCCCACCACGCCACCCCTCGGGGGCAGCGCCCCGCTGTGCGCGACGTGGTCGCGCAACGTCCTCCTGCAAGGCCGCCTCTGTGTCAGTCGGAGCTTGACCACGGGTTGCGAATCGCGGATCCATTGATCGATCGACGTCGGGATATTCGAGGAGGAAAATCTGAACAACCAGAAGAGGGACGAGGAGGAGGAAGAGGAGGAGGAGGAGGAGGAGGAGGAGAAGCAGGGGAAGCAGGAGGAGGAGAAGGACGATGACGAGGAGGAGAACGAGGAGGAGGAGGAAAAAAAGGACGAGGAGGAGGAGGAGAAGAAGGACGAGGAGGATGAGGAGGAGAACAAGGAGGAGGACGAGGAGGAAGAGGAAGGGAAGGAGAAGGACGAGGAGGACAAGAACGAGGAGCAAGGAGATGAGGAAGAGGAAAGGGGAAGGAAGAGGGGGAGGAGGGCGAGGAGGAGGTCACAGAGGAGGAGAGGATGGTGGAGGAGGAGGAGGAGGAGGAGGAGGAGGAGGAGGAGGAGGAGGAGGAGGAGGAGGAGGAGGAGGAGGAGAGGGGGAGGGGAGGGCAAGCTAGGTGCGCTCGCGTCATATCTGACGTCCTACCCCTCCCTCCCATCCCTTACCATGGCGCTGATTTTCTCTATCCGCGGACGCGTGTCGTAGCGGACCTGTGGCTCCGCGCGCGCGTGCGTAGTGGGTGGTGGTGCGCGTGCGTGCGTGCGTGCGTGTGTGTGTGGTTGTGGTGCGTGCGTGCTGGTGCTGCGCTGCTGGTGCTGGTGCTGGTGCGTGGTGCCTGCTGGTGCTGGTGCTGGTGCTGGTGCTGGTGCTGGTGCTGGTGCTGGTGCTGGTGGTGGTGGTGGTGGTGGTGGTGGTGGTGGTGGTGGTGGTGTGGTGGTGGTGGTGGTGTGGTGTGGTGGTGGGTGGTGGTGGTGGTGGTGGTGGTGGTGGTGGTGGTGGTGGTGCGGCGCGGTGGTGGCGGGCGGATGGGCGCGCGAGAAAGAGGCCCGCGCTGGGGCGAGAACGCCATCCTGAACGACGGAGGCCAAACACCGATCCGAAAATGAGGCCCACGCTGGAGCGGGAGCACGATTCGGAACGATTCGGGAGCAGAAATGAGGCCGGCGCCTCAGCGAGAGCAGCATTTTAGAAAAAAACGCAAGCGAAAACCCAACTCCGGGGAATCCTGTGTGTAAAAAAACAGTACGCGGGGGGGTGCCGAATATCTTCCGGACGCCATCAGGGGAAGTGGGAGAGTATTTTCGTATTGTGTAATTGTGAAGGAGGATGAAAATGACTGTGCTTTCGGGGTCGGGCGATGATCGGGTGTTCCTAAGGTCGAGCGGACAGCGGACCTACACGCGAGGTCCGCTGTCGGGAAAGGAGGGGCCGTCACCACGGGTTTTTTTCTCCGACAGAGGTATCCTGATCCTCCTCCCCCTACCCCCTCTCCTGGTCCGAGTGAGGGGGCCCAACGGTCTTACGCTGTATCTCGGTGCGTGGCTGAAGTGCGCTTCCGCAGTGCGCATTCGTGCAAGCAGTATTGCTGCCAGCCCCGCTCCGCCACCCACCCACGATCCGCCCCGCGACCTTCCCGCGACCCGCCCCGTGACCCACCCGCGTTCCACCCGCGACCCGCCGTGCGGTGCGACCGCGGAGCGGCCGACGACCCATCCGCAATCCACCCACGCTCTTTTAAAAAAGCAGCGAGTGCGGCGGGGTTCTTCAAATCTGGTTTCGAACCTTGCCCCCGCCCTTTTATCCACAACGGCAGGGGCTGCGGTAAAACCTACCTCCGTCCTCCCCTTCCTCTCTTCATTTTTCCCTACGTCCCTCCTGCGGGACCGAACATGTGGTCCTCCCTGCTCCGTCCCCCCTCGAACCCGCTCCTGCCCTCATCCACCTCCAATATCGAAGACGCCTACGGCGAATCACCGCCGCCCCCCGCCTTTTTGGAGCGCCTATGTGGCCGAACGTTGACGTTGAGGCCAGACCTGCCAAGCTATCGGACCATGTGTTCGGTTTGGAAAGCCTTCGGGGAACACGTGGGCATCTTGAAAGTCATCTTGGCCGTCGGGAGGCCATTTTGACCCTTTCGGGCCTTCTTGGAGGACGTCTTGGAGGGCTCTGGGGCCGTCTTGGAGGTCATCTTGAGCGTCTTGGAGGCCTCTTGGGCCGTCTTGGGGGCCTCTTGGGGCCGCCTCGGGCCTCTTGGGTGATCTTTGGGGCACTTGGGCAGTCTCGGGCCGTGGGAATGCCGAAATGATCCTGGAGAAGGTCCCAACCATATGCAGTTGTGGATACCGTAATTGTGAATGTCTGCTTCGGTGAAGCTCCCTATGGGGCCACGAAGCGCTGCACTGGGCGGGGGGGAACGCTGTACTGTGTGGGTGGTGTGCCGAATTGGGTTTCCGGGGCGCATGCGGACGATCCCACTGAGGGTTTCGGTGGAGCTCCCTATGGGGCCACGAAGCGCTCTACTGAGTAAGCGAAAATGCCAAATTGGGCTTCCGGGACGCATGCGGACGGTCCCACTGGGGGCTTTGGTGGAGCCCCCTTATGGGGCCACGAAACGCTGCAATGCGCGGGTGAAAATGCCAGATTACATTTCCCGGACGCATACGGACGGTGGCATTGGTGCCTTGGGTGGAGCCCCCTTATGGGGCCACGAAACGCTGTACTGGGTGGGTGAAAATGCCAAATTGGGTTTCCGGGACGCATGCGGACGGGGGCACTGGAGCCTTAGGTGGAGCTCCCTATGGGGCCACGAAACGTTGTACTGGGTGTGCGGGACGCATGCGGACGGCAGCACTGGGACCTTCGGTGGAGCTCCCTATGAGGCCACGAAACGCTGTACTGGGTGTGCGGGACGCATGCGGACGGTAGCACTGGGACCTTCGGTGGGGCTCCCTATGGGGCCACGAAACGTTGTACTGGGTGTGCGGGACGCATGTGGACCGTAGCACTGGGACCTTCGGTGGGGCTCCCTATGGGGCCACGAAACGTTGTACTGGGTGGATGAAACGCAGGGAGGAGGGGGAGGAGGGCCACGAAACGCTGTACTGGGTGTGCGGGACGCATGCGGACGGTTGCACTGGGACATTCGGTGGAGCGCCCTATGGGGCCACGAAATGCTGTACTGGGTGTGCGGGACGCATGCGGACGGTAGCACTGGGACCTTCGGTGGGGCTCCTTATGGGGCCACGAAACGCTGTACTGGGTGTGCGGGACGCATGCGGACGGTAGCACTGGGGCCGTAGGCGGGGCTCCCTAATATGGTGCCACGAAACGCTGCAATGGGTGGGTGAAACGCAGGGAGGAGGGGGAGGAGGGCCACGAAACGTTGTACTGGGTGTGCGGGACGCATGCGGCCGGTAGCACTGGGACCTTCGGTGGAGCTCCCTATGAGGCCACGAAACGCTGTACTGGGTGTGCGGGACGCATGCGGACGGTTGCACTGGGACCTTCGGTGGGGCTCCTTATAGGGCCACTGTACTGGGTGTGCGGGACGCATGCGGACGGTAGCACTGGGACCTTCGGTGGGGCTCCCTATGGGGCCACGAAACGTTGTACTGGGTGAAACGCAGGGAGGAGGGGGAGGAGGGCCACGAAACGCTGTACTGGGTGTGCGGGACGCATGCGGACGGTAGCACTGGGGCCGTAGGCGGGGCTCCCTAATATGGGGCCACGAAACGTTGTACTAGGTGGATGAAACGCAGGGATAAAGGCGAGGAGGGAGGAGGAGGCAGGAGTGGGAGAAGGAGGGGGAGGAGGAGAGGAGAGGAGAACGCGGGGCGACGTCTCTTCAAAACGAGGACCCAACACCACAGGATGGTTGAGAAAAAAGCAACTGCCACAATATTTCAAAAACTCATGGGAGATCAATGATGTTGGTCTTTTCGGGCCGTCCTGCAGGCCCTCTTGGAGGCCTCTTGGGCCTCTTAGCCTTTTCGACCCTTCCTGGAGGCCCTCTTGGAAGCCTCTGTCGGAAGCCGTTTGGGGGGCCTCTCTGGGCCGATTTGGGGCCTTCTTGGAATGCTCCAGGGCCGTCTTGGAGGCCATCTTGGGCGTCTTAAAGGCCTCCTGGGCCGTCTTCGGGGCCTCTTGGGGCCTTCTTGGGGGCCTCTTGGGCCGTTCTGGGGCCATCTTGGAGGCCTCCTGGGCGAGCTTGGGGCGATCTTTGGGGGCTCTTGGGCCGTCTCGGGCCGTCGGAAGGCCGAAAAGAAGCAAATGTCAAAATCCTGCAAAAACTCATAGGGGAATCAGTGTGTTTGACCTTTCCTGGCCTTCCTGGAGGCCCTCTTGGAGGCCTCTTGGGCCGTCTTGGGCCAGCTTCGAGCCAACTTCGGCCATCTTGGTGGGTTCCTGGCCCGTCTGACGCCGTCGGGAGCTGTCTTGGGGGCCTCTCTGAACCGACTTCGGGCCCTCTTGGGGCGCTTCGGGGCCGTCTTGGAGGCCATCTTGGGCGTCTTGGAGGTCTCTTGGGCTGTCTTGGGGCCCTCTTGGGGCCGTCTTGGAGGCCTCTTGGACCGT